TGAATAACACAAAGAGATGTTCCGTACAGGAATAGAACCCGCGACACGTTGCGCGACAGCCGGTTGCCCAGACACCGCACCACCCGTGCCGTCAAATTGTCATCATTTTATAATGATAATACATATTGTTGACCAGTAATTTTATTATAAGCTGTGTTGTAACTCTTGCCTAAGACAGAGAAGCCGAAAAAAACTGTAAATAAAACCGTATACTTTATACTCAATACTTTATTGCATTCCATAATGTATTTACAACAGTGGCATTGTTACAAGGTTCAAAAACATTTATGGACCCGTAATGTTAAAATCAACGCTTACTATAGTACTGGTACAATCTGCATCGGTGTACAGTTACATAAATAAAACAGTTTATATTGATCATAAAATAATATTACTTTACAATAAAATATCTTCATCTTTTACCGATACACACAGGAGCCAGTTAAGGCTCGTGCCAAAGATCCTTGACAAACATCTGCACCTGTAGCCCATCTGTAAGGTCATCGCGACCTGTCGCCTACACCTGACACCTTGTCCAGAAACTATCCAATACAGATGCAGGACCAAATTCGTCCGTAGGCTACCTACTACCTAGCCATGTCTTATCTTACACCAGGTGATGTTGTAAGAACTAATTAGCTTTTTGTTGCGATAAACGGGACTTAAGCGCCTAGACAGGCAATGGTGTAAAATATAAGATGAAGCGAGTGTTGCACTAGTATTAAATAACATATTAATACGATAAAACCACTTTGTACCTGTTCATACCTTCCTTAATTACCTTCATAACATTTAATTTTATAAACAAAGTATTGGTATTTTATAGTTTCGGGATATTTGTATACATACCTACGAAACAAGAGAAGATTTCGTCCCGCTGCATCTCATGCATTGCACCGCTTGCTTCGGGCACTCGTTGAGATGCAGCCTCTCGGCACGCGTCGCCGACAGGTGCGCGGCGCGTGCGCGAGTAAGGGCAAGCTCTACATACACCACTGTAGCGAAACTAAAATTTCTCTTACATTTATATATCCCTATTTCGATGGTAGGCAAGGATCAGACGGGTCACTTGATGGTAAGCACCACCTATGGACATTCACAACACTGAATAAGTTACAGCACAAGGGCGTTGTTGGCTTTAAAAATTAGTTTTTTTGTTTCTTGGCCACAGAATAAAATACATATACTCCTACTCCTCTCGCGTAAGAGTCGACTAAGGACATTTACCAGAGACCGATGCCGATGATAAATCTGAATCTTCAATTCGCTTGTCTAGCAGGGAGGTTATGGCAAACCTTCTTATGTAGAGAATACTCATAGTCTAAAACTAGACTGTTACGGACAATAGTCCGTCACTTTTATAGCAACTAAGTGCGGGAGAGCCATGCTTCGGCACGAATGGGCCGGCTCGACCGGAGTGATACCACGGCCTCACAGAAAACCGACATGAAACAACGCTTGCGTTGTGTTTCGTCGTGCTTACCATCAGGTGATCCGTCTGCTCGTTTACCGGATTATGCTATATATAAAAAGTCGTCAATGTCAGGTTTATCAGAAAACGCCACTGCCCGAACGCTGTCAATGATGTAGGTAGCCCCTTAGTCGGCTCTTACGACAAATCTATTCCTCACTACTATCACCAAAAGAACTAAAATGACCTCCTAAAGGTAGATTGTTTAAAGTTAATTCTTCTTGAAGCTCTTACATTGAGCATCACATCTCGCCCCTTAACTGCACCAACTAATAGTAGTAATTATAAAGCTCAACAGGTGACTACTGCCATTCATATGTTTTTACTTCTGCGCGCTACGGCAGGTGGCCGCAAGGTGGCGCTGCACCTGCTAATGCGTGACGTTTCAACACGAAATGACTCTAACGTGTCAGATCATTAGGTCGGGAATTGCATTTATTTAATTTCGTTAATTATAAATGCGACAGATTATGTTGTAAACTTAGTTCTAATAAAATTATATTTCGATATCTTATATTTGTTCGACACATTTATCGCGTGGTATAAAATGTAATGTCTCATTTTAAGATCAACTAAATTTTTATTCCACTTATATACAAGTACAAGCTATACTACATTAATAAATAACTGACCGAATGCTCGTAAGTGCCATGCGAGGGTTTCAGGTTTGATTTTCGGTCGGGCAAGGTGTAATTAGGAAGTGGTTAATCATAATACGGAGTCTGAAAAATACCCAATGTATGGTAATAGGCTCACCCCCTATTACATGAGATTACTGGTCAAAAGTAAATTTTATAGCGTGTTGTTCACCTGTGCCTACTTCTTCAATGATTAAGCGGTGTGACGTAAAGTACATTATACTTATTTATAAGTTTAGTATGTGCTGAACTACATAAGTCGTAGTACATAAACAAACAAACAGAACATAAAATAATTACATAAGTTTGTATACCACGGCCACAGCACCATGACAGACAACGTGACGCTTTGTCAATTTCCTCGCAAGGAACAATAGTGCACGCGCCAGGTATCGAACTGTGAACCTATTGTCGATTCGACACACTCCTACCATTCATTGGGCGACAGTTCAACAACCTGATTTACTTATTGAACTTAAACTGGAGAAAGCTGACTTTAAAGTTTTAGAACAAAGTCAGAATCATTGTTTAATTTACACTCATAACGTAACATAACGTCACGCCTTTTATCTCCGAAGGGGTAGGCAGAGGTGCACATTATGGCACTTAATGCCACTGTACAATGTGACACCTACTTTTCACTTTTTATATTATGAGTCCCGTATAATAGGGGGTGAGCCTTTTGCCATATACCGGGCATAATTCCAGACCGTACTACTACTGTGATTTTTTTTTAAATCCAGTAATACTTTACCCGACCCGGGAATCGATTTGCGATCACTCGGCCAACGAGACACTCATTACATCATGACTTTTAAAACTCGAAAGAGTAAGTAAATGTGCACAGAATAATATAGTGATGTCCAGTACATCGTCTATAATAACACCCGTTTTTCACTCATACTTGACCTAAGAATCCCTGATATATTTGTGTCGAACTTGTAGTCACTCGACCACTTCGGTAGTAAAGATACTACATAGACTTTTCATAAAATTCCCTGCATTCATATTTTAATTTTTTTACTGCACGGTTGGCGCGGTGGTTTGGCAACTGACTGCCGCGCAACGTGACGCGGGTTCGATTCCCACACGGAACATATCTTTGTGTGATCAAAGATTGTTGTTCCGTGTCTGGGTGTCATGTGTATGTGAAATTGCATGTTTGTAAAACACACCCACGGCACAGGAGAAAATCGTAGCGTGGGGCAACGTTCTTTTTTAAATTGTATTCTTTCTAGACCATAAAATACCTTTATGAATGTTACACATTATTTTTTTACAAACGCCATTGAAACTGACAAATCCGATGAATCCGGCAATATTCCGTGCCGGGTCCGATTCCAGGTAATAATGACGGTCCTACGTCGAGGTCGCATTCCGGCTGTCCGGCGGCGTCCGGTACCGTCCGGTTTCCTTCCGCAATCTATTTTTAAAACTATGTTGAATTGAATCGAATGGATCGGAGTTACGAATGTTAGGAGGGGTGACTGTTGTAATATGTCGAGTGCTGCTACACAAGCGATGGGTCGTTCCTAACACTATGTTTACATGACACAACTTTAAACCCTCGAAGGGTTTTAGCAGGGGTGGAAATAACATGATTGGGTTTAATTTTAGAACAAAGTCGAAGATCGGCTTTGGATTTTTACTCATTTCGTTTGTCGTAATAGCACAGAGTCTGGAATTATGCTCGGTATATGGCAATAGGCTCACCCCCTATTACATGGGACTCTTAACATAAATGGTGAAAAGTGGGTGTTACATTATGCAGTGGCATAATGTACACCTCTGCCTATCCCTTCGGGGATAAAAGGCGTGATGTTATGTTATGTCGTTTGTCGTCAGAAAATTGTTAATTTGTCTTTATCCAAACATTATCTAATATTATATCATTATACATATATTACTCACTACTTTATGTTATATATTATCTTATACTCTTATTACATGATCTCGGGAACTACTGGTCCGATTTGAAAAAATCTTTTTGTGTCAGATAGACAATTTATAGAGAAAGTTTAAGTGTGGGAGAGCCATGCTTCGGCACGAATGGGCCGGCTCGACCGGAGTGATACCACGGCCGAGCAGAAAACCAACGTGAAGCAACGCTTGCTTGTGTTTCGTCGTGTGATTGAGGTTATAGGCGCCTAGCAAAGTGAATGGAACCGGAATCCGCGGAACGCGGAGTTAACTAGTATTGAAAATATTGTTCACATTTAAAGACTAAACTAACGTTTGCGATTATTATGAGTGACTACTACATTTGCACGCCATTGTATACGGCAAACGATTGGTTCATTGTACACACGTGCTTGTAATAAGTAATCTTTCATCGTTTGTATGTAACTTGTATGTAAAAACTTGCTACATCGTATTGGGTTTAATACCTTTAGAAATATCGGTTGTATTGGTTTTCTGCACTTAACAATAAGCCTCCATATCACAAATACGTCACAGTACACTTCTACACAACATTCGTAGCTCCACGCGGGCGATGCAAGTCACAAGTCTAAATAGTTGAAATTGAAATTTCCAGAATTCTCTTTGACATTCTACGGATGTGACGTAGAAGCACAAAATGGCGGTTCTCTTGTTACATTATTTATTTAAAATTATTTCTCCCTTAAGTTAAACTTCTATTTAATTGCTTCAAGCGGTGGTGGGTTCACCTTTAAACTTAATGTTAACAATACTTACCCGTTAATTATAATTAACAATTTACCTACTGGTTACTAGAGATAATCTCTATCGATATCGTACGATAATTGGATGTAACCTTTCTATTTCACATTATTTCAGAAAACAAAATGTAAAGAAGTTTCTTAATAACTGTCGCAACACTTATTGATCTTCCAAAAATGTAACCACTCGTTGTGAGCGCATTACATTACACAATACAATGAAACAATTTGTTATTTTATACTTTGTTTTATATTAAAAACATGAAAAACAAAACATTAACAATTGACTTTTGGTAAGTATTTTACTAGAAATGATTTTAATATCAGCCATCATTCACAGACACACGTACTCTACAAGGTCCTCCATTACATTGTTCAGTGTGCAATGTGTAGTTTCGTTACGAAACTATTTTCAACATAAAAGTAGTTACGGAGAAGGAGGAGGGACATCACTGCGGGATTGTATGTATTGTGTGGAATTTAATTAGCAGCATCCTGCAAGATCAGGTCAGCGGCCTTCTCACCCAGCGACAACACGGCAGCATTCAGAGCTCCGTGCAACACTTTAGGGAACACACTGGCGTCCGCCACTCTGATCTTGTTCAAACCAAGCAGCTTCAGTTCACTGTCCACGCACGTCTGCATGGGACAAGTTCCCGAGTAGAGGAAACCAGCGATAGTCCTATGCAGTACGTAGCACTTCCAGAACTCCCTGGAGCCAGCTTCTTTGTCAGCACACTCAGAGAAGTCTACACCCACGACGGCAGCCCCCAAGTCTTTCAATGTAGCAGAGTCTTCTACTGCCAGCAGATCCAACAAGATGTCCACAGCACGCTCCAAGTCTTCGCTTTCAGAATAGAAGCCAGTCGTAATGAGGGGAGCGTCGTTTATGTCTGTGCTGTTGGCGCGCACTGTACCTGTGGAGACGGCGTCCAGGTTCACCACTACACTGTACACCGCGTCTCTGGATGCTATCTGTGTCTGCCACCTCAAGCACACGTCCAATGAGTACCCGTACACGAAGGTACAAGCCAGCGTCAGGTATGGCGTGTCGTGGGGAAGCATCAAGTTGTAGGTCTGGTAGTCAGGAATCTCTGAGGACTTATTGATTGGAGTAGTACCTAACAGAAGTGGGAATGGTATGCTAAACGGTACGAATGCATGCACGAGATTGGGGATACTGGGCAGGATATGTTTCTTAGTCTTCTGTACCACAATGACGGTGGGCGGTATTCTCAAGTTATCTCCCACAGGTAAGTCGGCTACTTGGTCGACATTTAAACTATCTAGCACGTCCGTGGAGCCGACGCCTGACAGCTGCAGTATCTGTGGAGTGTTGAACACTCCCGCACTTACAATAATCTCTTTGTTTGCTCTGAAGGTGTACGTAGTATCTTTGTAAATGGCTTCCACACTGACAGCAGTGCTATTTTCAAAATTGATCTTTGACACCTTAGTGTTTTTGGAGACGTGTAAGTTGGGATTGTCTTTGATATCGTTTAAGTATACGTAAGCTGGGGTTTGTCTGATTCCGCTGGCGATGTTCAGCAACGGTTGCATGTATCCAACACTTACTGGACCGTTCAAATCTTCAACAGTTGGGTTACCGACTTCAGCAAGGGCTTTCAGATAGTAAGCGACGTCGTCGTCATGCAGTTCCCTCGTGATCCCGACGGGTCCGCTGTCACCATGGTACTCGCTGTAAGTGCTAGCGATTTCCTCGTCCTTAACAGTTTCCGTTTTCTTGAAGTATGGGAGCATGTTGTCATAGCTCCAGCCGTCGTCTCCTGTGAGTGATGCAATGTCATCGTAGTCCTGTGGGATTGGTCTGATGGACAGGTGGTGGTTCAGGACACTGCTGCCTCCGAGAGCGTTTCCTGCGGTGAGTCTGGTGAAGTTTCCTTGGGCACCCGCCGCATAATCATCGAAAGTGGACCTGTAGTCGTAGTCTATGCTTGTTCCTGGCAGTAGGTAGAATAGTCCTGGGAGCTGGATGAGGAATATTAATGGAATAAATAAACTTGTTACTGTTTAGGTTGCGTGATGATGGCCTTATACTGCTAATAACTTACCATGGAGTTGGCGCTAGGGTCGTCCCCGGACTCGAGTACCAGCACAGTGTAGTTGCTGTCCACTAGCCTCCTCGCAATCACACAGCCGCAGGTACCTCCGCCGACGATGATGTAATCGTAGGATGCATTGTCTGTCGTGCCATAAAATATTCTTTAAAATGTAAAATAATAGTATTAATTTCTGTCAGTCGAACTTTTAGTGACGCTATTTACTCCTTAAAAAGTGTAAATTACTATAGATGAGTGCAATCAGGAACCGCTAAAATAGTTTTAGTTTCACAATTCTGCCTGACGATGATTTAAAGTACCCCTTGATTCCCAGTCACCACTTACCAGTTAGTTTCGCCTGTGAGGGGAAGACGATGTCCGCCTCAATAGCTGAGAACCCGAGAGTCACCAGCAGTAACGCAACAGCCGAGTTTAACGCCGCCATCTTAACTGTAACCAAAATATCAAGTGAACAAGAGTCATATTTATTATTCGTAGGTATAGCTAATTACATGATTATAAAAATTGGAATGTGAAGAAAAAAATTGGGATGATGACAGAGTATGAAAATTAAAAATCTAATTAGTCCGTAAGTTAGGTAATAAAAAAAATATATGACACGTATTTTTTTTTTATATTTTGTCGTATAGTAAATCAATACTTAGATAAAACGAATCAAAGTTTAGGAGTGGGGGCTTAAACGTCATTTCTACGTATAAAATGTACATAGAAGTGAGGACGACATTTCAAATCAATATATCGTCGAAAGTATTCGTTTCAGTAAGAAAATAAAAAAATGGTTGCCTGTAAAGTCGTTTTTACGGGCGAAGATTTTACGTGACAACGTCTTTTTCTCGGTAGAATATTTATTGATATAAATATAATTAAATTGCACAATAGGAACAAGGAATTGAATGAACTAGTGCTGCGCGCGCGGCAGACCGATCATAGTTGAGTGGTAGAGAGACGCAAGGCATTCGGCGGGCCTCTCTCTCGTTCGGTGACTCATCGTAACGTTACCGAGCGTTACACTTTTTCATAAGTGACTCCCAGCCGCAACCTAATTTAAGACGTTGTCACGTCAAAATTAGGCCTCTACCCTATTGTATACAATTCTATTTACTCGATATGTATCTATAAAACCGAAAATAACAAATGGTACTAATGAAGATCTTGCCATCAAAAACGATACATCTCGTTTGCAGTTGGACAATTTGTAAAATATTGATACTAACACAATGTGTGTCATTTCTCAAAAAATAGAAATATTTGCTTGGATATGAAAACCTACTGTATTTTTATTCGTTTTTGCAATCATGATTATTACACAATGTGCTAGTTTAAGATCATTTCTATACTACTCACCTGATCCTAATTTGCTCGATTACTTCAACTCTTCACGTATCAGATCCTGTTCGATCTGATCGGAAGGAACTCACAGTTAATGATGTGATGACTATAATGATACTTCTCTTTATATATCCGACAGATCATATATTGTAATTACCAATTATGTACATAATTATGTATATCAATGTATGTATAAAATGACAAACACAAAACACATTTCATTACAATTCGTATGTAGACAGTATCAGCATCAACTACCCATAACAGTACGCCGCGGGACCTGTACATGGGAGATTGTTTTATTTTGTCTGTAATAGTTTGATTTCAATTACCACTAGGCGATGATGTTGATGGTGTTACACAAACCTTGTATTTTAAGTAGTATTAGGCAATGCGTAGAAATGTAGCCTCGTTGTGCATTTTCTATCGCTTATCTTATATCTTATATTCTCTGAGGAATTGTTTGAATTGTTCCATCATATAGATGGTTGGCAGGCCACAACTGTGCGCTTTTCACGTTGCTTTCTGTCTCGCACAACAAAACTGTGGAATGATCTGTCGTCGGCGGTATTTCCGAACCGATATGACCTTCAAACCTTCAAGAAAAGAGCGTATTCCTTTTTAAAAGGCCGGCAACGGACTTGTGACTCCTCTGGTGTTGCGGGTATCTATGAGCGGCTCTGGTCGCTTACCATCAGATGATCCGTCTGCTCATTTGAATCCCATTCTAAAAAAAAATCTTCAGCTTTATGCTGTAGTCCGACGGACTAAATTTCAACTATACTTTTTCAATTAAGAGATATGCTACCACGGCCTCGCAGAAAACGAAGTAAAACAATCAAAGTGTTGTGGGCAGCCGTCGACAGGGTGACGTTATGGAAAGTCAAATCAAAGATATTTACAGGTCCGTATAATAATGCCAAAAATAGAATTTTATGGATTGAGAGAAGATTATAAACTCTTTGAGTACCGTCATTATAGACACAATTAAAGAAAAATAAGTTGCGGTCACCGGTGACCGCGTGGTGTTTGACAGTTTAATTTAGGGCGTCTCTTATAACAGGCATGGTGCGAGAGGTTGATCATAAATACATTTTTTTGCCCGCAGCTTGCTTTTCTTAAGGAGCAAAATCATCCAAGAACATTACTCTGGGTAAGGCGAGAGTGACATACTCTTACTGACTAAGGAACACCCCGTTTCTTCAACCCGTTAAGTCTTCCACTTGGCCATGGCTATATCCATAGATGCACGCATGGTGAATCCTATAGATATGTACAGACTACAAGTAGAGGTGAAATCAAAATATTTAACACTAACTTCTGTCAGCGGGTTCACCTGCAATTCCATGAGATAGAAAGTAACCTATGTGTAATAACACATAGATCCAGATCATCATCATCATCATCATTATCAACAGCCTATAAATGTCCATTGCTGAACAAAGCCTCTTCTCACACTGAGGTTTGATCACCACGCTTGCTCAATGCGGGTTGGCGATTACAAACTTATAAGTCAAAATTATAAGCCCAGGTTTCCTCACGATGTTTTCCTTCACCGTTTGTCAGTGGTGTCTAGATAATCTTAGAAAGTACATATAACTCGGAAAAAGTCACATTGGTACTTACTTGGTAGGTTCCGAACCCGCGGGGTGTTAAGCACTCCAAATACCTTAACCACTTCAGTCTTTTGAGGTGAAGTAGTAACAAACATAAAACGTTCGCATTTTTAATATTAGTATTATGTAGAAAGTCACAGGATACAGTACATTGCGGAACTCTATTGTTTCACAAAAGACATTGATACAGCTGTTCCAATCGCTACACGTGTCCACTTTGTCAAAATACCTATAATATTTTTACTTTTGAATCCATTGGTGTATTATTAAAAGTAATTATTATAATTTTCGTTTTGAGACTAATATATAATTATATCATTTCCACTCGCGATGTAAACATTCTTTAATTAAGCATTTATTTAATTAATAAGTCATTAAGTTATTAGTTGAACTCCTTACTTAAGATGAATACGTCTTTCTTACTGACATGTGTTTGTCTGCTCCCGTGGTACAGAAGTAAATCCTAGCATGGGAACACCCGATTTTAAAAAAGAAACTTAACGAAATACTTGTAGCGTGTACAACGTGTAGCGGGTTTGATTCCCACATAGAGCAACTCTTTGTGTGATCCACAAATCATTGTTCCGGGTCTGGATGTCATGTGTATGTGAACTTGTATGTTTGTAAACGCACCCACGACACAGGAGAAAATCCTAGTGTGGGGTAATGTAAAAAAAAATTGAGATCTTATATCTAAGTATATGATAAAGCTGTTATATAGAGGTACTATAAATGATACTTTTCACCAGTGTGTCTCGTACTTGTCTCTGTAAGCAGCGCGGCAGCTAACTAGCGGGTGGCTGGTACATACATCGCACATAGTCTGAGCATTCCAGCGAGTTATTCCGTCTTACTTCGAAGATATTGCATTCCGAGAGCAATCCACTGCAACTACTGCAACTGCTGCTATCCGATACTTTACGCTTCTGTTTTATTCGAGTAAAGCCAGTGACTTTATTCCATTACAAAGGGATTCTCGGTTTTCAATTCAAAAATTGTGCAATAATAAAAGACTGTCGGAGGGGTCTCTTACAATAATAGAATACCTTTTATTATATAAATATTATTTAAGTAAAGATTTCAACCTTATAGTAAACATAATTAAACCACTAACTCATAAAATTAATAAGTGTTATCTCTTTATATACTAACAAAAATTGCCTGACTGCCTCGTTGGCCGAGTGGTCGCAAGTGCGACTGCCGGGCAAAGGGGTCTCGGGTTCGATTCCCAAATCGAACAAAGTATTACTGGGTTTTAAAAAAAATCTCAGTAGTAGCACGGCAATAGGCTCACCCCCTATTACATGGGACTCATAACATAAACAGTGAAAAGTGGGTGTTACATTGTACAGTGGCATAATGTGCACTTCTGCCTACCCCTTCGGGGATAAAAGGCGTGATGTTATGTTACCAACAAAAATTGTAACAGTTTTACTGAAGGAAATAAAAGGGGTTTCTATGTTTATTTTTTATTTTATTTAGAAGACTGTCGATGAAGCGATAGAGGTCGGTATGTAAGAATCGTAGTAATTGACGTTCCTTAGTCTCCGCCTGCCCCCATGGAGGACGGGCGTGAGGTTATATTATGTAAATTGTGATCTATGTATGGTAATGGTCTCACTTTACATTAATTGAATGAAACTTGTAAAATAACTGTAATATAGTTCCAGTTCATAACATAACGCTTTTTATTCCTTAATGTAGTAGGCAGGACGGTACTACTGAACACAAACTTTACACCAGTTGTGTTTCAAGTTCCTTGTAAACGAGATCATAATTATTATGTTATTCCTGAAAATCGTTTATCATATTAACACTTTATCCTCACAAATCGCAACAACTAAACACAGTCAGTATTCCTACTACATATGATTATTATAGTCATTTCTTAAACTGTCAAACACCAAGCGGTCACCGGTGACCGCAACCTATTGTTCTATAATTGTGTCTATAATGACGGTACTCGACGAGTTAAAAAGCCCAAAGATAATAGTTCAATTCATATATGAAAAGCTGAACACTCCCCCACCCTACAGTACCCCCCCCCCACGTTCAGCTGAACATAATTCCAGAAGTAAGTCGCTGACAATTCAACACCTTCCTTATAAAAGCGAAGCGGAAACGGAAGTCACCCGTTTCCCGCCGAAAAACGCGCGTAATTTTTTTCACCGACGCTTAAACCTTTATGACGTCACGTCCGGTTGGATTTCCCGCACGCTGTGACGTCACGTGTCGCGTGACGTACTTCCGGCCGGGTTATATAATGAATTTATTATGTGGCTTTATTATTGTTAACGAATTGTGTTGTTCATTGTTAACGACTGCAGCGCTGTGCTGTTACAGTTTGTGCTGAATATACTTATAGCTATCAAAATAAACGACACTGGTCTATGAACTACTTACTGGTGAAAATGTATAAAATAATTCCCACAAAACAAAGTACCACTAAATACTAACACTACACTGACACACTTGCTTCTACCAAATTATTTAATGCCGTGTTCACCTCGTTGACACTATCAGTGACTTATCTAGAATATAAATTATGCAGCCGGTTCTTGGCGTAGCATTATTTTATATAACTTTAAAACAACGATGAATTAGTTCATCAACAACTAATAATCGCTATGTTTTATAGTTTTTTTTTTAATATTTAGTTAATTAGATAGTTATTATAAAAACATTGTTCATCATAATGACGACTGTTTCTGTTCATCATTTCATCATTAATAGCCTGTTCTCATCAACTGCCGGATTTTGCCTGTCCAATGACACGCCACTGAGCTCGGTCTTCAGCTCTACGCATCCAACCACTGCCGGTCAGTTTGCGGATATCGTCACTCCACCTAGCTACAGGGCGCCCTACACTACGTTTACGTTTACCTAGTGGTTCCGTTCATTGCTCCACAATCCGACAATAATAATAATTTTATTCAAATAAAATGGTCATAATACATACATACACAACTCCACGCTTGTTCTTTGTGAAGGTAGGCAGAAATTATAGAGCGCTAATTGCAATGATTCTTACATACCTCTTTCGCTTCATCAACAGTCATCAGTCTGTTCATAAAATGGCCCACTACGTAAATTACTCTATAAGGTCATATGCCTATACTAAGATAAATCCTGTATCACAGAAGAATATTATACACCTACACACGCTCCTCTCCAATAGCACACAGAGCCCAGTCTCCTGCCCTTCACGTCCAACCACTGCCATCCACACAGCGGATTATCGTCACACCACCTAACTATGAGGCGCCTTACACTACGTGTACCTAATATATGAACATATAAGTTATTATACCTCTACACATAACAAGTGTGGTTAAAAATGTAGAACTCTGCGATTCGATACCCGAGTCTAAGAAAATGTATTTTTTTTTTGTTATATTTCAGGAGCCCACGTTTGACCACTATCTCGTCTGGTGGTAAGCGATGATGCGGTCTACGATGGAGCACGTCGACGCATAAGCAACCTA